ATTAAAATCCGCGATAAGCCAGTATTTTTCAAAATCCACTCAAGAATGGTGCTTTGTGATTTTTTATAAAAACCCAATCAAACAATAAATTAAGTTATTATTCTATTAAAAAAATAATACTTATAAACTACAATTTCGCAAATCACTCTCTTTCTTCTTGTCGGCGGGGGCAACGGATAATTTTGTTTGCTATTTTAGCTCACCATTGGAGAGTTCTCATACCAAGAGTAGTCTATGGTAGGGTCTCTTTTCTGTTTGAAAATATTTATATTTATAGTTGTATTATGTCTGTTATGCTTCACTAATTTACTTACTTGATTTGATGACACTTTATCAAGCTGACTCAGTGTTCCCAACTGCAGGAAACTTTTCCTTTTTAGGGAATTTTGGCACCCAAAAGGGAAAAGGGATTTTTTTAAATAAAATCGTCGAAATGAGGGAATTTTTGAGAAATAGAAGTTTGGCATCGATAAAGATAGAAGTTGTGTTCAGCACGGATTTTGGAGTGGAGTAAGCGATGTCAATCTACCTACGCCGAAAAGCAATACTCGAACGCCTAAAGTCGGTACGGAGTTACTCGGAGCGCGCGGAGTGACATAGCCGAACGCAGCAAGGTTCGGTTTCGGGGGTTCCCAGTTGTATTTATTTTAGTGCTCATCGTTAATTTTTGCAATTTGTTTGTAATCCGTTTAATCATCCAACCGACTCAATTTTTTGTTTTATTACATACACAATAGAAAGATATTTTCGGTTTTGATATAGGTAAAGTCATTTGGCATTTAAAATCTGTTTTTTTTTTAAAGATAATTCCCCAAGTCAAAAATTTAGTAACTATGTTGGCAACACAAGCCTTTTCTACATGAAAAATTTGATAGCATTGACAATATTACATTGTATTGCCAACCTAATGTCAGTTTGACTTTAATCTTTAAATAAATAAAAAAACGCACTTTACTTAGATATACTCGTAAGGCTTTTTCGGAAACACTGATCCGACTAACGACTAACCCGATCACCAACTGTTTGTTTTTTATCTTTCTTTAATAAACACGATTAAAAAAAGACAAAGTACATCAGCTGGTGATCCGGTTAATCGGATCAGTGTTTCCGAAAAGGCTTAATGGCAACATTGCTCGCGTTCACCAGCACTAAACATAAAAACAGATGAAAATCAACTCTAGGCCAATCAAAACTGTCCTACCTTGTGTATTCCACATGCTGGAACAAAGCCGCTTACTAATCATTCAACATGTTGAGTGTTGGTGAACGCGACCATTGAAAGCAGAGAATTTTAACTCTAAAATATATAAAATAGGGAATTTTTGGGATCCATGAAGGGAATTATTAATCTGAGAGGTTGGGAACACTGAGCTGACTACCCCCATGGCAAAAGGGCTGCTATGTCCAGCCTGATTTATGGTTCCCTGCGGTTTCTATAAATTATCAGTAGAATGTTGTAATAGTATATTACATACCGAGTAGGGAAGTGTTTCATTACTGTCGAGAGATTTATATAGTCAATCGAGACGCGAAGCGTCGAGATTGACTATTAATCTCGAGACAGAAATGAAAACTTTCCTCCGAGGTTTGTATACTATTTTATTTGCAAGCACACCATTAATTATGATTAGTCAATCAATTGACCTTTTCAATTTAAAAGCTTCTCTCTCTGGCGTCAAACTGTCAGACCACTTGCCGCTTCTCGAGCGTGATAGGACATTTCTTTGCGAGTGCGCATATCCGTAAAAAAAAAAAAGACGCCAAAAGAGTATGAAAACAACGGTTGACAGCCACTGACAGTGGTTTGTTGACGAGACTTTTGTACATGTGGAAACTGGAAACTATTATTTCCTCGGTTTTTTCAAAGTTTCTTCCTAACAATGGTGATTGTGTAGTGTGCCTTTTTGTAAAAATAATTCCTATTTACCGGCGAACGTGTCTTTCCATAAGTTTCCATTAAATCCTACATTTGTCAAATTTTGGATACATACAATCAGAAAGAATACTCGCAAAAAAAGAGGGAATCCACAACCCATCAAGTATACAAAGTAATCCACGTTCAAGTTTAGTTTGCGGGAGCTGTTTGCTTCTAAAATAATTCACCGCTTTCTCCATAGCGAAGTTCTGCAAATGCAGTAGTAACTTTTCCCACAATATCTTTCAAAACACCCAATACACACTGGCATTGACAAGCAAGCAAATGTTGGCGGGAAAATGATTGTTTTCATACTTTATTGTCCATCTCTTTTAATTGAAAACGTCAATTTTTATAATATTAACAAAATAAACCTAACATGCCAAAATGTGTCATTCACTGCTTTTACGTTTTTACCTGACATGTTCTCATTGTTGCCAGCAAAGGTAATTAAATTGGAGTGAGGGAAATCGGTGAGGGAAGTCGAATAGGGAAATCGAAGAGGGAAGTGACACAGGTAAAGTATCACTTCCAAATTTTTAAAAAGTCAGTAATGACAAGATTACATATATGATTGCAAATAAACATTATTCTACTTTTGCGCCCCTCGCTTTCTCCTCCAGATGCCTTTTCCAATCGAGGTACCTGTCTGTAAACATGATAGGACCCAGCGCGCCATCTTTTGGGATTTATGTTATACAATAAATATTTTTTAATCACAGGTGTTCAAATTCTCTGTAAGTGATTGACTTTTTTACAAGTAGATGGCGACATCTTCAATATCGATTCGTTAACACAGTAATTTACAGTAGACTAATAATTTAATTCAGATGCAAATGAAATAATAGTATTTCACATTTTTAGCTAGTTTTTACTAGTTTTTACTGGCGTTTGAAAGAAGTGACTACCCATCCCGAACTCAGCGACATCTTTAAGAGAAGCGCTGAACACACGTTTGGTTTGACTCTCTGCTAAAAATGACAGCAATCACCTGCTTGTTTCGCACTTTCAGCAGATTTTGATTAATTTTGGAATAAAAACATCATACATTTTCGGAAATTCTGTTCTATTCATTTTTTCCAGCAATTGACAATCCGAAATTTTGGAGATTTATTTTTGGTGAGCTACTCTATATGCTTATCCCTTTTTCATTTAAATCCGTGATCAAAATTTGCATATTGTTGTCAACTTTGTCAATAATTCTACTATTTAGACTGCGTATTTTGCAACAAAAAATGGAAGAACAACTACACCAATCTATTATTGCTATGAACATAACTTCATTTTACTGGAAAGTGGTCTAAATTTGGAATTGAACAGAAATTTATGAAGGTCTGTAAATGACATTTTATTTAAACGCCCCTCTTGAGAAAATTAGAAAAAATAATTTTAAATATTATTTACAACAATTCAAACCGAATAATTTCGAGCCAATATTATTTTGTACTTAACGGTTACCCATACCACATGACTAAATGCAAGCCAATTGCTAAAGAAACATACATTTTTTGTACGAATCTCGAATATCTTTGGCGGCTACTATAATTATTCAGTCTGGTGGACCATCGAAGCAAAACTGGAGAAGAAAGCTGCTTTTGTAACTCTTTGGTAACTTCTGCTAGCCCCAATTAGTATTGTTTGTCATCATCTAAATATATTGGTGGATTAAAATCTGCAGATGATACAGAATCGTTTCCTGATATTGCAATAGTTTCAGAAATGGAAACATTGGTTAAATATTTTTTAGTTTTCAAAAAAGTGGAGGCATATAAAAAAGTGCCTCCTCAACGAGCCTGGGAAGTTTTTTGATACCGTGGGAAAATCTCTAAATCGGCGGCGCATTTGATTTGAAATTTAGGGAATTTGATTCGGGCCAACCCCAAAATTGACGAATACAAATGGAAGAGTTAGTTAAATATTTTTTAGTTTTCAAAAAAGTGGAGATATTTTAAAAAGTGGCTCCTCAGGGCAGAAGCTTCACGGAAGGGGATTAACAGTGTAGGTGAGTAGTGGTATGAAGGCTGTGCTGGAGGGGGGTTTTTACGTGGTACAGGTGGGTATTGGTCTGATAGCTGTGAAAACACTCTACTTGGCTGCCTGGAAAATAAGTTGAATAGAATTTGTTTTTGCATTCGCACTGTTTCAAGGTATATAAATGAGACATACCATAAAACGCTTTATTTTGAAGGCACTGTACAATTTTTTAGGCTTCCAACTCTAGGGCGCAAAATATATTTGTTATTCAGAAGTGAACAATAAGCATACAATGTCCCACCTACAATCGTGTAGGGCGTAGGGCAATATTGAGGGCAGAAAGGATAATGACGCCCTTTATACCTATGAGAAAATTGTATTCACTTTCAAGAATATGCAATTCTTTGATGCTATTGATGTTAGTCATAATTATAACACTAGGGCAAATATTTTTTTTTTCTTCCGAGGCACAGGGGTTAACATTATTGGAAAAAAGTTCATGTTACATGGGAATAAAACTTTTTAATAAACTAAACAAATGACTTGTTGAAAATAATGACACAAGAAAAAATTTTTGAAAGTAAATTAGAAAAAATACCTATTGAGTTGGAACCATACAGACACTATAGAAGAATATGTGAATTATATATAACTGGATATAAAATAGTACAATTGTTCTGAGTAGCATTAGATGTAAGGTCTTTTTTGTGACGCTATTTCATTTCATGGTTTTTAAGTTTTTGTGTATAATTATATGTATGTAACTGTAATCTGAAATAAAGTTAAAAATAAATAAATACATTAGTAGAGGAATTACCATCCTCTGGGCCCGTATTCTCGTCACCATCAGGGATCAGCGTTCTCTCGAAAGATCGATTGCCTTATCTTAGTTACCCATATTGTTATTTCCATAATACTGACAAAGACAGAGTAATCGTTCTCTTCAGAGAACGCTGTTCCCCGGTTACAAGAGTACGGACCCTGGGAACCTGGGTACCTACACATTTTTTTCAGCGGTTTACCCCTCGTAATCTACTTATCAAGAAAGAAGCAGAGTAGGCTAACAATTCTTGAGGAATAGGAATTGCAATACTGAAACAACAGGACTTACTGGTTTCTGATAACTGCTACATGTAAAGGTGTATTTCCATTATTATCGTTTATATTCGGAGATCTTCCTTTTGAAATTAATGTTTTTAATTCATCCAAATTTCCTGCGGCCACCGCTCGAAGTACACCAGTGAACAAAAGGGGATCTTCATAGTCGAATGTTGGAAAAGGTGTTCCATCCTGAAAAATATTTAATTTAAATGGCAAAATCTTTTGGTGCAAAATCAATTGTCATTTTTTTTTAATTTATATTTATTTCACATTATACATATATAAAAAAATATACAAAATATGAATATTATGACCTAGAGAATTGAAGATATTTTTACTTTTCCCAATATCAAAAATTGAAATAAAATAAAAGTCATTCACACAAAGTACTATAAGTATTTGTAAGCTAGTCTGAGACTATAAAAACAATGGGCTCTTTCACTAATTTTTGAAATTGGCATATTTGGATAAAGCAACTAAAAACAGAATTTTCTGTATTTTTACTTTTGAAAAATTCAAAGTCCTTCTTGAGAAAACAGAAAACAAAGAAATACCTCCAAATAAAAACCCAGAATTTATTTCTATGACGTCGCAGCTCGCAATTTGACCGTGTTGCCACTAATTGTCAACATTGAAAATTTGTAATAGATTTAATTCTGAAATGTTGGAAAAATCTCATGAAAAGTAGTTAAATTAATTAGTTATAGATTCAAGATTTTATAACATTTTTTTTAAAAATTATGCTTAAACACAATTTAATACAATTTTTTATGTTTAGTTTTATTTATTTATTTTACGCTGCACTACATTTAGTCACAACCGACAACAGCGCATTCGAACCTTTACGTATCTTTACAGAGCGCAAACACAGCCGAGCCGGTCCTCCTTGCAACAACATAAGCGAAATGAAGAATATTTATGTGACGTCGGCAAATCGGCGCGTTTAAAATCAATTTGAATTTGGCCACTTTTGATTGCCTGTGAAAAACTTATTGAACCTTGTAGAACATTTTTTTTTTGGTATATATGCCTAAAATAGTCCCCCTTTGAGATTTTATACTTAAATTACGTATTTAAATTTTAGTGAAAGAGCCCATCGAAAACACTAGGTACATTGAGAACCTACTCAAATCGACAAAACCACATTGTATTATAAAAATAAAATTGATTACGAGATTGATTATTTCGGTAATATTTCATATTTCCATAGTTTTAATTTAAATATAGATATTATTACATATTTGAGGAAGTCTTATTCTCTTCTTGTATGTTTAAACTTACCTATACCGCATCTCTATCACTATCTCTTATATAAACAAGATCCTAATGGTGAGGATCTAAATTGGACACACTGTATAAGATTCTTTTCTTATGCAGAGTTGTCATACATCCGATTCATGCAAACCGGTTACAGTACTAAATTCTGGATTCAGCTGACACCTCTATTTTGCCTCTTACAAACAACTCTTTTCTGAATTTTTAAAATTTTACAGGCATAAACCGGATAAATAGATGAGCAGATAATACCAGCCCATTTTGGCAAAAACCAATCTCATTTCTCTATCTCATCAACAATCATTAACGACATAACTGCCAGTGCCAGTTTGGTATCAGATGCAAGAGTGCTTGCTTATTGGATAAGTTAATTTGCTCTAAAGACACAAAATTTGATTGGTTTATTCTAAGTCTAAGATGTGTGAGTTTGATGTTGGACAACCATAGTTAAAGAAAAAAAAATATCTTAGGGCAAGAATTTGGGCAGTAGCCTGTAATCGAGAGGATTTGTTAGAAAACCTAGATCAGCTTCATCTAAGCCCTAATACTTATTACAAGAATTCTGGAGTTCTACATTTAAAACAAAAACAGACCAGTCCGGCTCTGTACAGGGTGTTTCAAATTCGAGCCATTGGGATCTCGGAAATGGTGAGAAATACAGAGCTCTATTTGCTATAAGTTTCATACATTCATATATCTTAACAATTTAAAAAATAAAGCCGTAATCACAACCTTTACCTTAACCGGGACCTTTACTATTAAAAACCAGAAATGAAAATGTTAAAATTAAACATAGATAGCATACAAAATTCACCTAAACAAAAGAGATATCCGGACACTGGCACTCTTGTGCAGTAAAGAATCTTCACCGCACTCAAAATTATTATAAGCGATTTCGCCTCAGTTTGGTACCCCAGTTTGGTCTGTCAAACAGGTACCATTCTGGAGGTTGGTTCTGTTTCTTTTTCTCTCATGTCCAAATGAACATATCAAAGTCAAAATGTACCAAACAAAGTCTGGGGCGAAATCGCCTTATGACAAAAATTTGGTTAAACGTCTGTCTTGGTGGCATTCGTCAAAATCTGCTACGTTGCATGTTGCATTTTGTTTTTCCCATAGCATTTAATCAATATTATAATTCGCGTATATAGATATAGATACCACATAAAAAGTTCAAATAGATTCATGTTTTGTGGTTCAAATTCTCCATTTTTTGGTATAAAATAAATTCCTGAGAGATGGAAACCTTCGATGAAGAAATATTCAAAGCAGCGAATGCAGCAGTTGGCTCTTTGATTTCACAAAAATCCCAGGACCGGTACAATAAAGAATATGAACAATTACCAACATATTAAAAGAGAGCGGTAATAGTTATTTACATTATAAGTCCGTTCATGAACATGATTACAATAACGAGTGTGAAAGATTAGAACGACAAGGTCGAAGACCGAGTCGTTCTAATCACACGAGTTTTGTAGTCATGTTTAAACGCACGTGTGATGTTCAACGTTTTATCTACAAAGCAAAAAATAAGAATGTCTTTTCAATCCTTTTCGTTTATCAGTCGTTGTTCACCTTCATTTTACCTCTACAGGTTTAACTTTGAAATTTGTCAAATCACCAAAAATAGTTGTGTTATGAATTCATAACCCAGTCCATAACACCACTGTTCTGTCTTATGACATAACTCAAATACCTACTAGAAAAATGGTTATGTAAAAACGTCATAACCAAACGCTTGTAGATAAAGAAGTTTCACAGCACTGAGTGTGGTAATAATTATTTACCTAACAAGTGCGGAAAAGATACTTTACGCTCGTGTTAGGTACAACATTTTTCCTATGAGCGTGCGGAAATTGACACGTTTTTTTGTTTTTTTTTTGTTTTTGGCTCTACTGATAAAAGAAATGGCCAAAAATGTGATTTTTCCAATGATTTTTCAATTACCTAATTTAATAACGCAATAATTTCAACAACATAACATTCATTAACAGTTATTTTTATTTTGAGTAGAATTAACTATTCTGGTATACAAATCATTAAAGAGGTCGATATTGGTCAGTACAAAAACCTACTAGCTTTCTTGAAGAGGAAAAACGGTGAAGAAATTTCGAAAAGATGTAAAATTTTTGAGAAGCATGACATAAAGAGAAAAACTGAAAAAAATAATAATAATAAATCAGTGCGTGGGGGGTGCGGGGATCTGGGGGTGGTGATCGACAAAAAGCTCACATTCAATGACCATATTGATCAAATTGTGCATTCATCATTGAAAACCCTGGGGTTTATTATTAGATCAACAAGAGAGTTTAAGAACATCGACAGTCTCATCACGTTGTACAACTCTTTGGTCAAGTCTAAATTGCAGTATGTTTCTCTGGTGTGGTTTCCTTACCATCAAGTACATGTGGACAGGCTCGAATATGTTCAACGGCGATTCCTAAAGTATCTAAGTTTCAAAAAGGATGGAATTTACCCTCCAAGAGGATTTGACCACCAGTTGCTACTCAACAAGTTCAACTTCCTCTCACTTCAACAGAGTACAATTTTAGCAAGTCAACTCTTTCTTTTTAAATTATGTAACAACCTAGTAGACTCTTCAGATCTTTTAAATAGCCTTAATTTTTCTTTACCACTAGTCAACACACGTTCCCACCGCAAGTTCTATTTGGAAAATCGCCCCACATATCTTGCCAGTAATGACCCAATCTATCGAGCCTGCTCATACTTCAATCACCTGCAGAACAGTATCGATGTAGACTTATTTGTAGGTTCAGTAAACTCTTTTAAAAAAAATATCTTGCCGGTGCGGTGGTTCGTAATCTCTGATAATGTATTTGCTGTGATAATTGTTTACTCTTCTCCTGGCCGAAGTATGGGAGGGTGACTATTTCTATCTCTATTTTTATTTCCTTTTTTAACTGAGTAAACAATGCTAGTTTATTTTTATTTTTATTTTTATTTTTATTATTTTTATTTTTATTATTAGTTATTTTTGTTTTTAGTTTCATAGTTGTTTTTATTTTTGTTTTAGGCTTCTTATTGGTTTTTTGGATCTTATGTGTGATATAATCTTAGCTTTTAAATTTTCATATTTTTGTTCGCTCTTAAGTGCACTAATTGTCTCATTATTGGGAGTATGTATTCCTGTTAACAATAAAGAATTGAATTGAAAAACTTTTCTCGGGCACAGCGTGCGTGAAAAACTTTTTTCGTGCACGCCGAGCGGTAAATTTTTTTTCACGCACGCAGTGCGGAAAAGTGGTACTTTCTGCACGCAAATCTGTGCGTGAAAACGCGTTTTCCGCACGCTCGTAGGAAAGAGTATATTATATGATTAGTGTGGTAACTAGGTTATTACCGCACGCGAAAGAAGTTTGCAAACCGAGCCGGTGGGGCGAGGTTTGCAATCTCTAGGGCGGTAATAACATAATTACCATACATATTATATACAGTATTTTATCTACAAGCGTGCGGTAACCAAATACCGGAAAAAAGTTTTAAAAATTATAGAAAATAAAATTGCGTCTGTCACGTTTGACAGTGGATAGGTAGAATTTAGGTGATAAGTAGGTGATATATCTCTGGTAGGTAATTGAACGTCCGTACCTATGTAGGTAGAGCGTGCGGTAATATGGTACTTACCACACGCAAAATCGTGTAATATACCTTAGTTACCGCACGCTTGTAGATAAAGAATTTTTATCTACAAGCGTGCGGTAACTAAGGTATATTACACGATTTTGCGTGCGGTAAGTACCACATTACCGCACGGCGTGCGGTGATATTATTACCGCACGCTCTACCTACATATGTACTTATAAAAAAAAAATACCTTAAATTACCTACGTGAGATAAATTACCTACCTATCACCTAAATTCTACTTGTCCGCAGTCAAAGGTGACAGACGCAA